TTTACTTGTGGCCCATGGGTGTGATACACAGCCTGACTTGTTAGTAGTAAGGCAGAAATGGAAGGAGGTTGGCTAGATCCAGTGCCCACATAAGCTGGTTGCAGCACAAAGTGATCTAGGTTTTTGTTGGGACCCTGGCAAAGGCAACAGTTTTGAAGTGAGTGGCATGTCCATTACATTTAATGGGCATCAGGTTTACCTTCATTTTGTGGGTCGGGACATACCAATGGGCCACTTTTTTTTAAGTGCCTAAAAACACCCTACCTGACTTTTGGTTCCCCTGCAGAAATTCTAGTTGCTCTGATTGTGCTGTAGACAAGCACACCTCTGCAGGTCCCCTATATACCATAATAACATGGCATTTTTTTACTAAGATTTCTGGAGCGACTAATTTTTTATGTCAGAATGTGCCTTGTCCATCTATGCTTCCCTTCAATCTGTGCATTGACTGTCTTTCTTCAATGGACCAAACAAGCTCAAGGGAATCTTGTATTTTCAGTGTTTGGCCTCCATCTTGTATTCTTAGATATTTTTGTAAGTGCCTTGATCTCTCCTATCATGTTACTATGCTGTTGTTGGACATGGGGCGGGGGGGGCATTTTATACAAATGATTGTTGAAATAAAATTGCAAATCTGTTTTATAAACTGACAGATATTTTCCCAAAAAAATGAAATAAATAAAAAAGATGTAGAAGCATCACGATGTGCCTGAAGTTTATTTTCTCCTACAAGTAATAGAAATGGTGGGTGTAGCGGTTTATGCCATTATCTTCCTGTTTGGTCTCAGTGGTGGCCAACAGGGTGGACCAAGTTTGAAGTTCCTCTGCTGGCTACAGAGACTTCTGGGAGGTTCAAGGTCACTTAGAAGATACAACTTCACTGACTCTGGGTCTGCATTGAGTCTTCTCATTGTCTAGAACAGGGGTCTCCAAACTTTCTAAACAAAGGGCTAGTTTACTGTCCTACAGACTTTTGGGGGGCTGGATTGTGACAATTGGGAGTATAAATGGTCCCGATGTTCATGGGGAAAAAAAAAACATGCCCCCTTCTTTGGTGTTAGCGTGAGGAATTGTACCCTATTGAAGGTGTGATTGGGAGGATTTGTGCCCTATCGTATTGAAGGTGTGATTGGGAGGAATTGTGCCCTATCTTTGTGGTCTTTTGGAGGAACTGGGCCTTATTGGCATCATTGGAAGGAATTGTGCCCTATTGTTGGCGTCATTAGGAGGAATTGTACATCATCGGCAGGAATTGTGCCTCGTCATTGGGAGGAATTGTGACTCATCGTTGACGTCATTGGTAGGAATTGTGCCTCGTCATTGGGAGGAATTGTTCCTCATAATTGGTGTCAGCAGGAATTGTGCCCCGTCAGTGGGGGAGGAATTATGCCCCATTGTTGGTATCAGTGAATGAACTAGTGCCCCAAGGGACGGATAAATTCAAGCAAAAGGATGCAGTTTGGAGACTGCTGGCCTAGAACATCTTTATCCAGTGTCTGCATATAGGTTAATTTGTATTATAACCTTAAGTCTTCTTCAAGCTGTGTTACAGTGTGGTAGCTGAAAGTTGAAGTCAGGCTTGCACAGGGCTGTACTTGCTGTGAAGGGTGATAGAGGAGAGATGGGAGAAGGCTTAGGTAGACCAAAAAACTGGAAGAAGGAATGGTGGCATAGGGTAGATCAAAGAGCTGGCGCTAGAAGAGAGGTGGTACAGCTTGATGAAAGAGCTCTGGTAGACCAAAGAACTAGCAGCAGGCGGAGCAGTGGCACACTCCAATATAATAGAGCTGGCAGGAAGTGAGGTGGTGACACCAGTAGATTGGCAGTGAGCCAGCGGCACAGGTAACCCAAAGAGCTAGCAGGTGGTGGGTCAGTGCTCCAAGTGGACCAAAGAGAAGGCAGGGCAGTGAAACAAATACTACAATTGCATGGCCGCCATGCTGTTTCCTATGCTTGAAGCCACTGGCCTGTAAAAAAACAAAACATGCAGATCAGAACATTTTCTTTATGTATACTTGTCTTCCATTTGTAACAAAGTTTTCGAGTAAAAGGGTCGTTATGGCAGCCAGGTGATTATTTTCAGAAGGAAAGCTCAGCAATGCTTCCATTTTTCTCTCCATGGGTTCCCTTCACTCTAGGGTGCTATATTGATGGGTGGAGGTGCGTACAAAGGTATGTGAATTACTATACAAATCTTTTTGAAGATTGAAAAAGATAAGGTGAAGACCCCTAATATAGAGCTATTTAAAATAAGTTGTGAATATCCTCATCTGACCATCAAACATAGTAAGTAATCAAAACGTTACATATTTTCTGGCAGCTCAGCTGTCCTATATGTGACCCAGCTGTCATATCATCAGGAATACAAAGGGAATCCATGAACAAAAATGTTTTTTATTCTTTCAATAAACATATTCAATAAATATCAATTGTGCCCCACTTCTGAGGCTGCTGGGTGATGAATAATAATCCATGGAGCCTTCATGTTGTGATGTCACTGGCTGGCACTCTTGATGTCATCTCGCAGGTGATTGGTCAGTAGGGCATCTCTTGGAGATCTTGGAGATCAGAAATGCTATGAACAGAGATAGACCCGTGTTACATTAACAGATTTGATGACACTAGCCTTCCCCTAACATTGGATCAGCATTTTAGGAGGCTATAAAACATTCTGCACAGTAGTCAGAGATGTGTTGTGGACCCATCAGACCTTATGTCTCAGAATCTGAAGGAAGAACTGGTCCCGTTTGAAATGAAATGAACTTCTCCATCTCATTTTTCCAGACGTATGAAAGGGAGACTCTTGTTCTTAACGTGCACCAAGAACAGATCTTCTTTCGGACACTTTAATAAATGAGGCCTAGTATTCTCGGTGAAAAGCCAAATTTGTCTGTGGCCGCTGTGTGTTCGGTTACTTTATCCAGCCCCTGTGACTCACTGCTCAGGAATGATTACATTTTCAGGCCACGTCTGCTCCATGGTGCTCAGCATCAGCCCTGGATCCTCTCCAGTTACTGCCTGGAAGAGACGGGGATCCTGGGAGGAGTAGATTTCATAAAATCTCGAGGGACTGAAGTGTATCGCTGCACGCCCTCCCTAGTCCTGGCATAGATGCCTACTGTCACTTCCAACAAGTGAAAGCACCACAGTTTAGAGGTTTGTCCTTGGATATGCTGGCCCTAGAAATGACCTTTGTTTCAAATACTCTTGTATTTGTATTATTTTGTCTTGAAATGTCACATCCCTGCTGGTTAGAGCTACATTGTAATGGGTATTATGTCTAGAACAGTGGTTCTCAACCTTTGAGACCTTTCTGAGGGTCTGGTTGGGGTCTTGGTGATCCTGTGGGGGATGAGATATCTGGAGTTTGCTGGTGGCTTTGCAAGGGCACAGTGGATCACTGTTGGAGATGGGGGCAGTATGGGGGGCTGGAGGTTCTATAGCAGGCTTCCGGGCACTGTAAGGGCTGAGGGTTCTTGGGAGCACTGCAGACCACTGTGGGAGGCACTATGGGAGGTTAGGGGGATCCGCAGCTGGAGGCCCTGGGACAAGCCGGTTCACATCCCAGTGGTTGATCACAGCTTACAATGCGGGGTTGTTTAGACCAATGGTTATCTAAGGGATGCTTTGTTTCTTTTACAGGCTCAAATCTGTTCTGGTACTATTTTCTGGCTGTAGCACCTTACTGCAGGCCTAGCAGGAACTCTACAGATGTGGGGTTCACTCAGTCAGAGCCAGGTATGTCACTGGAACATTTGTTTAAAGTAAAAGTACAGACTAAAGGAGATCAATGGGATTGGTTTACTAATAGCATCTGAATTCCATCATCCAATTATGTTTTTTTTATTTTTTTTTTATTTTTTTTATTTTTTTTTTCTTGCATGTGATTTGGATGTTCTTTGCAAACTGAAACTTCAGCTCATTTTCTAAGCTCTGGAGCAACTGCACTTGCAAAGTGCACAGCATATTTGCCTTTAGTAAATCAACTAAAAATGTCTCTGAGGGTCAGTACAGTCAAGTCAGAGGAAATGATAACTTCTGATCTGTACACCTAATTTGAATTGATAATGGGGTTGATTCTCTAAAGGTAAATATACTGTGCACTCCAAGTGCAGTTGCTTTAGATCTGAGGGGAAGCTCTGACATGAGGTGAAACTCTGCTGATTTTTTTCATCTAATCATGTGCAAGCATTTTTTTTCAGATCTAGAGCAACTGCACTTTCAGTGCATTTCCAGGTGTACTTTGAGTGCACTTGCAGTGCACAGCCTATTTGCCTTTAGTAAATCAACCCCTATGAGTATTGTCAAAAGTAGATCTAACTAATGGCAGCCTCCAAATTTTCTCGGTACACGTTTCCTTTAAAGCGGAGTTCCAGGCACACTGTAAAAAAAAAAAAAAAAGCAGCTACAAAAACTGTAGCTGTTGACTTTTAAAAAAACAGCTGATCACCTGTCCCTCAATCCCGGCTGTCCAGTGTTCCCGGCACAGGCATATTCAGTGTGGGCACCCGGCTGTGACTACTTGCGGCTTCACAGCTGGGTGCCCACTGCACATGAGCGGCCATCGCTGCACTTTCTAATGGTCCCACAGTCTTCTGGAACCTGTCACGTGTCCCAGAAAACTAATGGGGAGGGTAGGAGGACAACTTACGCTTCTGATTGCCTAGGAGATAGCAGTGGGAGTGAGTACCTGTCAATTTCAAGTACCCGCTCCCCAAAGGTGCCAATCCTTACTGGGGAGTGGAGAACCAGTCTTTGAAGCGGAACTTCCCCTTTTGGGTGGAACTCTGCTTTAAGGGTTATTTTACCGTTCTTCCTGTTTTAAAAAGAAAAATACCAGTGGCTCATGGATGCATTTTTACATGTTTTCTGCAGTTTTCTTTGAGTTGGATACATCTTGATCTAGTAATGGGACAATGATGTCCTTTAAATGCAGTTTGAATTATGGTTCCTTCCAAACTGTTCTCTTACCTTTGTACTCTGTCTCCCTCTTCTGGGTGCTATTGGAAGTGACTCTCCAGTGAATTCAGCACTTCACTAGGAAACTGGTCTTTGTTAGTCCTTATGTAATTTAAAACATACTCATCTGCATTTATGATGATGAATCTGTGTCCGAAAACTGGAAAATACAGAGGAAATGTGAAGTGAACTACTAGAAGAAGCTATTTATCACTTTCAAGGCCTTATTCCTACACAAAAGCAAACCAGGATGCTTCAAGGGCAACTTAAGCAAAAAAAAAAATATTCAGGGTTTGGTATGCCTGTCTAAAGTAATGACCATATTCCTACTACCCCTTCCCTTGCCCACTTCCTATCCGCCCATCCTACTGCTCTATATTGCAGTTTAACACAGGAGGGGGGGGGGGGAGCGCGACACCTATCAAAGCCTGAAGTACTATTAAATCAGTCCTGCTGACCACCCTGAGGTTTCTCCCTCCATTAAGAAGTCTCTATGCCCTGATACCTAACGTGGCTCTCTGGCACTTACTGTGCAGCCCCTGGAGTCCCTGCTACAGAGGTCTGTTTTGGTACATACTCCAGCCAGTGAACGAAAATATTCTTTGTTACTAAACCCCCAACAGTAAAATCAGTCTGTATATGCAGTAACGCATGCTTGTTATACTCACTGTGGAGCCTAAGGGGTTAATCCTCTGCACTGTGTAAAAGGCTATTTGATCCTGTCTTCTCTGATCCTCCCTTTCTTCTACTGTCCCCAATCCATCAGCTGATAGAACAGAGCTCTAGGAATCGCTCTGCACATGCTTAGTTTAGTGTATATTTAAAGACAGTTTTTATTTTTTCTTTTTGGGAGGATGCATGCAATCAGCACAGGGCCAATTAGCACTGTCCAGACAGGGTCAGGGGTCATGCAGCCTCATAGGACAATCGGGAGAATGAAAACTCCTCCTACAAGATTAACCAGTGCTCAGCAGGACACTGACAGAAGTCACAAGACTGCTATATACTGCTGGTGAGAAAAGGTATTTAGCAGTTTATATATATTAAAATAATTCCATTTCCATGTATTGTGGAAGACCAGATATTTTTTTTTTTGGGGGGGGGGGGGGGGGGTCTAATGGATCTTGCTGAGAGAAAAATCAAATGTGGCCCAAGTATTCTTATAGGAGGACTGTAGGGAGCTTAAACTTCCAATTGATGCCGGCGCCAATTACATGCCAGTGATTTTCAGTGATTAGCTGCAGGAGGCAGCCAGCTCTTACAGCTAATCGTGGCCGTTCACATGTAATCACTATGGAGCTCTGGATGAGCCCGCTGATATTCTTACATGCAATCGGTATTGGCCCATTCCCAAATGTAAATGGGGCCCTATGTAAGCACTGTGTCCCCTGGTAATAAAATGATATCTTGCTACCATGGGGGTCTATAGACAGTTATCTGTTGATGGGTATGGATTCCTAAAGGATAAAAATAGATACCAAGTAATGCTTTTTCTATCTATAAATTAGAAACATGCCATAGATGATCTGAAAATACAGACCCAAACACTGTAAATACTGATCCTAGCTTCACTACCTAGAGAGTCCTGGAACAAATGTGCGGGACAGGATTTCAGACTTCAATGGTTAAATGCTCGTTCCAGGGCAGTGCCTCACTTAGTATTGAACTCCAGGTGGAGATAATGGCCCTGGAGCATGAACTGAATACATCAGCAGTCTCCATATGTCCACCATTACAAGTATACTTTAAATTAGACCTGTAGGTGCATATTAGAATCACTTGCTGATTTCTTGCTGGCCTGGAAGGCAGACTTGCAGAATGAAATGACATGTATTGCCAGCTTCCACCTGAAATGTAAACTGATTTTTATAAATAATGCAAAAAACACACCTCAGCTGGGCTTGAGCTGCCTGTCCACCAACATACTTGAAAAACAGTGGGAAAGAGGAACCTACTTTAGGGTAAGTAATAACATGAAAACTTAAATACTGGAGAACACTGACTGTTGAAGAAAGGATTAGATAAACCTATTCCTAGATTGTAAGCTCGTAAGAGTAGGGCCCTCTTACCCCTCGTACGCTGTCTGTCTTTGTTGTACTGTGCCATGTATTGTCCCCCCCTATTGTACAGCGCTGAGCAAACCCTTTGGCGCTATATAAACTCGTAGTAATAATAATAATAATATAAGCTAGAAAACCCCATTAAGATGGGTCCCATTGGATCCCAAGGTAAGTGACAAACCTTCCACCACGGAGCCAATTTTGAAGTCCGCTGGTCCATAGTAGCTGGGATTATCGATAGAAGAACCTGGTTTAGGGACTTTGGTCCTTTCTAGAAATTTTCCTCCAATAATCCCGGAATTTCGGATCTGAGGCTCAAAGATGCTGATCATATCATCGGAGAGGTAGTAAGAGAGGATGAAACGTCTTCCTTTATCTTCAGGGATCATTGAATCCTGAAGAGAAAATATCAAGGCTTATGTGTACAGTATATACAGTGGATATAAAAAGTCTACACACCCCTGTTAAAATGTCAGTTTTCTGTGATGTAAAAAAAAATGAGACAAAGATAAATCATTTCACAACATTTTCCACCTTTAACCACTTGCCTACGGGGCACTTATACCCCCTTCCTGACCAGGCCAATTTTCAGCTGTCAGCGCTGTCGCATTTGAATGACAATTGCGCGGTCATGCAGCACTGTACCCATATGAAATTTTTATAATTTTTTTTCTCACAAATAGAGCTTTCTTTTGGTGGTATATACTTGCCACTGGATTTTTTACTTTTTGCGCTATAAACAAAAAAAAAGAGCAAAAAATGTGAAAAAAAAAAAAAAAGGTTTCTTTGTTTCTATTATAAAATTTTGCAAACAGGTCATTTTTCTCCTTCACTGATGTGCATTGATGAGGCTGCACTGATAGGCAGCACTAATGAGGTGGCACAGATAGGCGGCACTGATGATGGGTACTGATAGTAAGCTCTGATAGGCGGCACTGCTGGGCACTGACTGGTGGCACTGCTGGGCACAGGTAGGTGGCACTGATGGGCAGAGTTGGGTGACACAGGTGGGTCGCACTGCTGGGCACTGGTGGGTGGCACTGCTGGGCACAGGTGGGCGGCACTGCTGGGCATAGGTGGGCGGAACTGGTGGGTGGCACTGCTGGGCACCGATCATCAGTGCCCTGATGATCGTTGCCGATCCCTGCACTGACAACTGCCGGTTCTCGGCAGTACTTTCCTCACGATCTGACAGCGTGAGGAAAGTGCAGCCGAGAACCGACAATTGCATTTCCCTGTGATCAGCGTGTCATTGGACATGGCTGATCGCGTGTAAAAAAGCCACTGTCATTGGCCTTTTACCACATCACGTGATCAGCTGTGTCCGTAGGACACAGCTATTATGGAGATTGCCGGGTGCGCACCCCTGGGGGCACGCAGGAGATCTGCGGTTGGCCACTGGTTAATGTGACCTATAAACTGTACAACTCAGTTGTACCAAAAACTGAAATCTTTTAGATGGAGGGAAGTAAAAATAGAAAAAACTAAAATACTATGGTTGCATAAGTGTGCACACCCTTAACCACTTCCCGTCCGGCCCATGTATATAAATGGCTGGACGAGAAAAGCGCAGGAGCGGGTTGCCGTTCATAAACGGCGCCCACCATATTAGTCTGTGCGTGCTCCCTGGGAGCACGCGGCACCGCGAACACCGATCGCTGTACAGGACCTCTGTGTGAGGTCCCGATCACGTGATCACATGAATAGTAGTAAGCAAGATGTCACTTCTGACATCATTGCTTACTACTTGTGAAATCTGTGAATGATCACAGAGGTCACATGGTACAAGGCTATTCAGAACATATTTGTACCATGTGACAAGCTGTGCCCAATCACAGCTCTCACAGTATTTCTCAATGGCTGCAAGAATGCAGCCAGAGAGAAGGAGAAATGATTGATTATACAGCCTTTATGGGTGTAAAAGCAATCCGTGTAAAAAAAAAAAAAAAAAAAATCTTCATCACCCCCCCACAATGGTGACACTGTACTGCTAGGGTGACAGAATGTTAAAAAAAAACAAATTATAACTAAAAATTATAATTTTTCAAAAATATTTTTTACATTTTAATTTTTTTTTTATATTATAAACTAATTTGGGTTATTTTGTTTACTAAAAAGATAGCTGAATACATTTTGGTCAAGATTTATGAAGAGCGATTATTTGCTTAAATTTTAGAAGAAAAAAACTTTTTTTCAAAATTTTGGGACTTTTTCATTTATATAGCAAAAAAATAAATACACATGGTGAATAAATACCACCAAAAAAAAATGTTATCTGTCTCAAAAAAATGCTAACAAATTCATATGGGTTCAGTGTTGCATGACTGCGCAATTGTCATTCAAAGTGTGACAGCACTGAAAGCTGAAAAGCTGAAAATTGGCCTGGACAGCAGGGGGTGAAAGTGTCCGAACTTGATGTGGTTAAACTAATACTTTGTTGAAGCACCTTTTGATTTGATTACAACACTGTCTTTTTGGGTATGAGTCTATCAGCATGGCACATCTTGACTTGGCAATATTTGTCCACTCTTCCTTGCAAAAACACTCCAAATCTGGCAGATTGCGAGGGCATCTCCTGTGCACAGCCCTCTTCAGATCACCCCACCGATGTTCGATTGGTTTCACGTCTGGGCTCTGGCTGGGCCATTCCAAAACTTTAATCTTCTGGTGAAGCCATTCCTTTGTTGATTTGGATGGATGCTTTGGGTTGTTGTCATGCTGAAAGATGAAGTTCCTCTTTATGTTCAGCTTTCTAGTAGAAGCCTGAAGGTTTTGTGCCAATATTGACTGGTATTTGGAACTGTTCATAATTCCCTCTACCTTGAGTAAGGCCCCAGTTCCAGCTGAAGAAAAACAGCCCCAAAGCATGATGCTGCCACCACCATGCTTCACCGTGGGTATGGTGTTCTTTTGGTGATGTGCAGTGTTGTTTTTGCACCAAACACATCTTTTGGAATTATGGCCAAAAAGTTCAACCTTGGTTTCATCAGACCATAACACATTTTCCCACATGCTTTTGGGAAACTTCAGATGTGTTTTTGCAAAATTTAGCCGGGCTTGGATGTTTTTCTTCGTAAGAAAAAGCTTCCGTCTTGCCACAATACCCCATAGCCCAGACACATGAAAAATATGGGAGATTGTTGTCACATGTACCACACAGGTTTCATCAGACCATAACACTTTTTCCCCACATGCTTTTGGGAAAAAAAAAAACTTCAGATGTGTTTTTGCAAATTTAGCAGGGCTTGGATGTTTTTTTCTTTCGTTAAGAAAACGCTTCCGTTTGCCACAAAACCCCATAGCCCAGACCATGAAAAAATATGGGAGATTTGTTGTCACATGTACCACACAGGCAGTACTTGCCAGATCGTCAAGCAGCTCCTTTAATGTTGCTGTAGGCCTCTTGGCAGCCTCCCAGACCAGTTTTCTTCTTGTCTTTTCATCAATTTTGGAGGGACGTCTAGTTCTTGGTAATGTCACTGTTGTGCCATATTTTCTCCACTTGATGACTGTCTTCACTGTGTTCCATGATATATCTGATATTGCTGCTACTAAGATTTTACCTAAATCAACCATTTATTGGATCATCAAGAACTTCAAGGAGAGTGGTTCAATTGTTGTGAAGAAGTCTTCAGGGCGCCCAAGAAAGTCCAGCACGTGCCAGGACCGTCTCCTAAAGTTGATTGAGCTGCGGGATCGGGGTACCACCAGTGCAGGGCTTGCTCAGGAATGGCAGCAGGCAGGTGTGAGTGCATCTGCATGCACATTGAGGAGTAGACGTTTGGAGGATGGCCTGTTGTCAAGAAGGGCAGCAAAGAAGCCATTTTTCTCCAGGAAAAACATCAGGGACAGACTGATATTCTGCAAAAGGTACAAGGATTGGACCACTGAGGATTGGGGTAAAGTAATTTTCTCTGATGAATCCCCTTTCCGATTGTTTGGGGCATCCTGGAAAAAAACTTGTCCGTCCGAAAAGGTGAGCGCTACCATCAGTCCTGTGTCATACCAACAGTAAAGAATCCTGAGAAATTCATGTGTGGGCTCATTTCTCAGCCAAGGGAGTGGGCTCACTAACAATTTTGCCTAAGAACACAACCATGATGGTGTGATACAAAAACATCCTCCAAGAGCAACTTCTCCCAACCATGCAAGAATAGTTTGGTGCCTTTTCCAGCATGATGGAGCACCTTGCCATAAGACAAATGTGATAACTAAGTGGCTTGGGGAACAAAACATCAACATTTTGGGTCTATGGCCAGGAAACTCCACAGACCTTAATCCCATTGAGAACTTGTGGTCAATCCTCAAGAGGCAGGTGAACAAAAAAAACACCGCAAATTCTGTCAAACTCCAAGAATTGATTATGCAAGAATGGGCTGCCATCAGTCAGGATGTGGCCCAGAAGTTGATTGACAGCATGCCAGGGTGAATTGTAGAGGTCTTGAAAAAGAAGAGTTAACACGGCAAATGTTGACTCTTTTTGCATAAACATAATGTAAGCGTCAGTAAAAGCCTTCGACACTTATCAAATGCTTGTAATTCTACTTCAGTATACCATAGTAACATCCAACAAAAAGATCGAAAAACACTGAAGCTGCAGACTTTGTGAAAATTAATATTTGTGTCACTCTCAAAAAACTTTTGGCTAGGTACTATGTACATGACACTGTTACCATTTGATTTGATGAGTCAGGGGTGGTCCAGCAGAGCAGAGAAAAAGTAGAATAAAAAGCAGAGCGAGAGAGAGAGATCCTTCTAAGAACAGTATTTATGTATGTATGTGGAAAGTATAGTAAAACGTGTAGTAAGTGTATACTCGCATTCGCATGGTTGCTGGTTACCCAAACTAAGTATATTTATCATATGTGGAGAGTATGACATCATATTTGATGATCGCTTGAGTGTTTTCTGATAGGCTACAATCAGATCCAGTGAAAAATGTAAAAGGCCCCAAAGTGGAACCAATGTGTAGTTAGCAGAGACCCCTATTAATTGAAAAGGTGCTTCTAAGTGGATTCTATAGGAAGGTTGGTATTTATTGATCATCAGAACAAATTAAAACATACCATCAATGTTGGAAACAGGAAAGTTCATCACTCAGGATAATATCCAGCCGAATCCTTCTTTATTCTAAAAGCATGTACATAGTTAAAAACAGCCAATGGGTTTTGGGCATATAGTCCTTAGTCATGGCTATGACTAAGGACTAATTCTCCGAAACGCATTGGCTGTTTTTAACTATGTACATGCTATTATAATAAAGAAGAATATGGTTGGATACAGGGGCGGACTGACCATTTGGAAACTCGGGCACTGCCCGAGGGCCCGGGGTCAGTAGGGGGCCCCATGAGATGCCCCTGGTACCTTTTTTATAGGCTTTTTTGAGTTTGGGCAAGGACACAGGGGCCCCATGATCCCCTATTGCCCGGGGGCCCCATGAGTTGTTAGTCCGCCCCTGGTTGGATATTGTCCTGAGTACCGACCTTTCCTGTTTCCAATTCTGATCTCTGAGGGCATTGGTGGTTTTCAGGTCTGAGCACTGGGTGAGGCACGGTAATTGAGAGAGGTATTAGTGTCCTTACAGCTGTTTCTCCTAAATGTATACCATCAATGTGTTTCATGGCAGAAAAAGAAAGGGTAGAGTACTCTTTATTGGGTGGGATCTGTGTGCATTTCTCCAGCCCAGAGTATATTGTGTGGATGACGAAATGACACAGATATCACCCATTAAAGTGTACTCTACCTCTTTAGCTCATAAGTGGGCACTAAAGAGCCACAAAATGCATTGTTTGTGTGTTGTAAGCCGGTCTTAGGATCAATAAATACCATCCTTCCTGACAAATATACTTGGAAGCACTTTTTTATTTAATTGGCACCTCTTCCATTTTGGGGCCTCATTTCCATTTGGTGAAAGGTAGATCCCACTACTCTGATCTCACCCTCTTTGTTCTCAGAAAACAGTTTATCTTCCTGTCTAGTCCTAATACATCAGTCAATATCTGAAATGGTTATATAAAGTCTGTTCAAGTGTCTGTTCATGAATAGATCTTGATCATGCCCACCAGGAAACATTTCCTCCATGTATGATATGAATATGGTCTCAGTGTGGTCAGTGTCTGTTGACCTCTACTGATCATTACTTCTTACCAGATTAGCTGCATATCTCAGAACTTTGTGGTCATTCTCTAACATTTTAATCACATCTTTTTTGGGCGGCTTGGGAATCAGACTCAGACAGTTCTGAAGAGAGTCTTCCAGCAGGCCGAAACCATTGTAAGGAGGGATCTCCTGGTGACACAGAGGAAGAGAAATACAGATAATAAAGCATCAGGACCGCAGGATGACCTGTCACCCCATACAACCACCACTGCTTATACTACAGGGAAACAATGGCGTATTTCCATGAAGGATGTATTCACGGTTATTACTCCAACATAACAGCTATCAAGGTCCCTATATTGCTTTTTTATACATTATAGAATGTGACCAGTATCTCTATTTAAACTCCACCCCAAACATTTACTTGTGTTTCAAACAGTTGGCAAAAAAATTAGAACTTCCATCGGGGGTGTTAATTTCTGGGTCCTTATTTGTTCAAATTTTTTTCCCCTCATTTTCTGTCTTGGAGATATAACAGGAAGTCAGAGGAAATCTCCCTAAAGTGTGGAGAAATCCAAGAATTGATACTAGTCATTGGAACAGATGAGAGATAATATTGCCTGTCTGGATCTGGTGGAATTTCCCATCATTTTGGTATGACAGAGATCATCTCCCATGAAGAGCTGTATTCAAAATCCTTAGCCCGGGTTCACACTTGTGCGGTATATCGCATGTGATTCGTACAGGAACAGCACTGCATTCCTGTGCAAATCACGTGACTTCTGTGCGGTGTGATTTAAGCCATACATTTTGTATGTCTCAAATCGCACCACATTTGCACCAAAAATTTGCAGGACCCTTTTTTCGGTCCGCGCTAGAATCAGATCGCATGGGTATTGTTAACATACACACCCGCAGTGGTTCACATAAACGGGGTGCGACTCTGATGCGGTGCGGAATTCACAACGCGGCAGTGTGAACTCAGGCTTAAAGTGATATTAAACCCTCCATGCTGAAGCACTTTCAGCAGCTGCTCTGATCATCTTCTTTGTCTCTAATCCTTGTCTATGTTCCTGTTTAAGCTGCTGCCCCAGGTTTCCTGTTTCAGGCCCGGTTCACACTGTGCGGGTGGGTTGTGGGAATCACATCTGTTCCTGCACTCACAGCCAAATTGCGATGCTCTTACAAGATGTGTGGGGCTGCTATTCATTCTTCATGGCACCCCCACGTATTTCAGCCCTCGTGGGTGTGGGAAGCACACAGAAGCCGCATGGTCAAAAAGACCCGTTCCCTGTGGAACATGCACCTTTTTCTTGCGTGAAATGTGTGCACAGCAAATAAATGGGCTGCCATGCCACACGACCCACACTTGTGTGAACCAGGCCTTAGGGTAGAAATTCTGAAGGACCCTCTGCACACTAGTATATACCCTTTCCAGCAGACAATGCAATAAATAGGGATATTTAGTTCACACATATTGCAATACATGCTTAAGCTGCCAACTGCGTCAAAGTAATCCCTCTATGGCCAGTCCTACTCTGCTCTGCCTACGCAAATGCTACTGTGGACACAATGCTAGCATAGGGGAAAAGACACAATGGGGAGAGCTACAGGTTCAGGTCTGGCTACTGACCCAACAATACAACAAACAAGAGATACCTGTGCTCAAATCCCAACAGCTAGTGCATGCATTTATCCATCAGGTGCTAAAGGGGTGTAACCACATATTAACACTAGAAAAAAAACTAGAAACCAGGCCTTAGGGGGTCTCCCTACGCTGTCAGTAGAAACACACAGTCCCATAACCTAGGATGACAAGGCACTCCCCTGCACCCCCTCCCTTCTCCAAGATAACAGACTGACTGGAGACTGCACTGTCCACTGTTAACCCTTTCCTGTGAAGACCAGAAGTTCGGGTAAGCAGCACTTAGAGAGCAGGAGCCAGCAACTGCAAGTGTTTGGATGCAAATTTTAACATTTTACTGGGGAACGCTTATTGGAATGCCCTGACCTTCTATGGACAAAGTAATGAACAGTGGCAAGGAGGTCAAACCTACGAGCCAATATTCCCAGAACCCAGATTGCTCACAGTAGGTCTTTTTTATGTGGCTTGGTGCACTACACCAACCCCTTGTTGATAAACTCCAGGAGGTCCATGTCCATTTCACTTTTAAATGGTTTATACCTTTAAGCCACTTAGATAAATAAGGACCTTTACATATTCTTACTAATAAAAAATGCCTTCACAAGTGCCTACACATACTAACACATTGGAGCTTCATCTTGTCCATAGTGTGGGGGAACACTAGACACTGAATGCTTCCCTGCAATAAGTTGGTATGCCATAACAAAGCTCCTATATCCCTACCTGCTTCACTTCTTCATTCATCTTCTTCTCCACACTGGCAGGTGTCAGGTCTGGGACCCCCAGGTTCTGGCGGTAGAAATCTCGAGTGTAAGCATCACAGTCATACAGGAAGAACTTTCGTCCCAGGATTGTGATGTGACTCCCCACCATAAAATCTCGGGGCGAGTACCACTCTGTCACCTCCTGATCTGACATCTCCAGGACACATTTAGGGAAGGTGTCTGTACGGGTGAAATTAGACAATGTTAAAGATGGCAAAGTGAATAGACAGTCCCAACCTCAAAATAAGAGGTACCAGATGTGTGGCTTAGGAATTCTTACAGGGTGGATTTGTGGGCATTGGATTAGGTCATTTTACTCCAATGCACTTTACTTTGCGCTATCTGGTTAGTGCAATCTACAGCCACTTTTTACCACAGATGTCACGGATTTCCCATGTCACTTTGATATATCTATAAATACATTGACTTTGGCACTATTGTCACTTTAATGCACCTTGATCTGGTTTCATGATACTTTAGCACAAGTTTTTGGTTTTTATACCAATGTATTTTACTTCATTTTATTGTTTTTTTCCATAATTTTGTAGCATTGCATATTTATGTTTTAGTATTGGATGTTGGTTGTTAGCTTCTGAAAACTGGTGGGATTTTATTTTTTGGCCCAGAAACATGAGCTCCAATGCTTCAACGGAAAAAAATGTCCATACCATAGATGTAAGGTAACTGTGTACACAGGGGTGAAAAATGGATGATTATTCACGAAAATGTAAGAGAATGTAACATACAGTTCTAATCCCTAAGGCTAAACTAAAACTCAACAGGAAGCCAGGCAAAATTTGGATAGAGGGGGAAAAGTTAAAATCTCTGTTAGGTTTTTATTTCTCCAAAATGATTAAAATTGAGGTGCTGAATTCAACTTATCAGTAGGCTTCAAATTAAGACATGGTCAGTGGCGTTGGTGAGACTGCTCCCAATCACAAGATAGGTCCCCTTTGGGGAGATGACGTAGAGTTGAAGGTCCAAATGTACAAAGAATAATGAGAGTGCCAAGCACTTAGTCTAGGAGTCTAAGTCTTCTAGTATTACAAGAAAACATAAAATAGTCAACATGTTATGGGGTCTCAAAGATCTCCCCCTACTTTAGGGCTATGGTGTTATCAGTGATGTGGAGGACCCAGAAATGGTGTAGTCACCAGGATTATTGTTTGCTATGTATACATTAAAAAATATCCATAATCAGTAAGTCAGTAAAACGTTTCTTACCTTAAAGTGGTTGTAAACCTCAAACATGAAATATGAACAAGGCATATCCCTCTATAGCAGTGGTTCTCAACCTGTGGGTCGCGACCCTTTGGGGGTCGAACGACCCTTTCACAGGGGTCACCTAAGCCCATCGGAAAACACATATATTATACTGTGTAGAAAGCAGCTGCTGTGTTGAAAGCAGCTGCTGTGTTGAAAGCAGCTGCTGTGTAGAAAGCAGCTACTGTGTTGAAAGCAGCTACTGTGTTGAAAGCAGCTACTTTGTAGAAAGCAGCTACTGTGTTGAAAGCAGCTACTGTGTAGAAAGCAGCTACTGTGTTGAAAGCAGCTACTGTGTAGAAAGCAGCAGTATTGGAGGTAAAACGACACTTCATGAATTATAATTACTGGGTAAATAATTATAGGGTTGGGGGTCACCAAAACATGAGGAACTGTATTAAAGGGTCACGGCATTAGGAAGGTTGAGAACCACTGCTCTATAGTATGTACTTGTCTCAGTTAAAAGCAGTAAGTGTCATTTCTGTCTACTGCTTCATTCCTCTGCTATCAGCATGAATCACTTCTGACAAGTTTTCCTGACACCAAGAGAAAAATGCTGACAGGGGAGGGAGATCCAGAAGATTGACAGTCACAGCTCTGTTCCTGTGAGCTGTGTGGAGGGAGGTGTGTCTCTTCCCTCCAATCCGCATTCAGAGATCTCCACATTGAGCTTTGCAGAGTGTAACTTAAGCTTCCGGCCCATTTTTTATGATCTCTCAGAAAAGCTTTATAAATTCAGCACTTTAAATGGACGTAGAGAAGAGAATATTGCAGATAAACAGATACAACTTATGTAGGAGGATTTGTTTCATTTCGTGTATCACCTGAAGATAGTTCCTTCACTGGGTATATGTAAAGGTTTACAACCACTTTAAAGTGTAACTAAACCCCGGCCCCTGAATTCACTATATCTATTCTCCCACAGTACACAGAACATGGAAATGCAATTATTGTAGTAAATACAGTTGTGACCAAAATTATTCAACCCCCAATGCTGTAAAGGGGTTTAGGGACTATAGTGTACATTTGGAATTGTATTCAGAATCAAATCCTACAAGGACGTTGTAACTACCCAAATGCAACTAAAATGACATCAATTGTTTATGTAATACAGTAGTAAATGGTTCTTATGTGGTTTCTTCATTGCCACAATTATTCAACCCCTTAAAGACTACCACTCTGAAGAACAGAGGTTCATACAGGTGCTTTCCATCAGGTATTGAAAACACCTGTGGATGTCACCGAGCAGCAATCAAGCATAATAAGCACCAATTAGGCAGCTTTAAAATGACTGTGATACTCAGCTCCTTCTAGACATTTACTGGTGTGGTTACAAACATGGTGAAGGCAAGAGAATGGTCCAGGAAGACAAGAGAAGAGGTGATTTCTCTTCACAGGAAGGGCAATGGCTATAAGAAGATTGCAAAGATGTTAAACATACCAAGAGACACCTTAGGAAGCATCATTCGCAAATTCAAGGCAAAGGGCACTGTTGAAACGCTACCTGGTCGTGGCAGAAAGAAGATGCTGACTTCGACTGCTGTGCGCTACCTGAAGCGTAGAGTGGAGAGAAGTCCCCGTGTGACTGCTGAGGAACTGAGAAAAGATTTGTCAGATGTGGGTACAGAAGTTTCAGCCCAGACAATAAGACGCACACTGCGTAATGAAGGCCTCCGTGCCAGAACTCCCAGGCGTACCCCCTTGCTGTCTCCAAAGAATAAGAAGAGTCGACTGCAGTATGCCAAAAGCCATGTGGACAAACCACAAAAGTTTGGGATAGTGTTCTGTGGACTGATGAAACAAAATTAGAACTGTTTGGGCCCATGGATCAACGCTATGTTTGGAGGAGGAAGAACAAGGCCTATGATGAAAAGAACACCTTGCCTACTGTGAAGCATGGTGGAGGGTCAATCATGCTTTGGGGCTGTTTTGCTTCTGCAGGTACAGGGAAGCTTCAGCGTGTGCAAGGTACCATGAATTCTCTTCAGTACCAGGAGATATTGGATGGAAACGTGATGCAGTCCGTCACACACCTGAGGCTTGGGAGACGTTGGACCTTTCAACAGGACAATGATCCCAAGCATACCTCCAAGTCCACTAGAGCATGGTTGCAGAGGAAAGGCTGGAACATTTTTGGAGTGGCCATCGCAGTCACCAGACTTAAATCCGATTGAGAACCTCTGGTGGGACTTAAAGAAAGCAGTTGCAGTGCGCAAGCCTAAGAATGTGACTGAACTGGAGGCCTTTGCCCATGAAGAATGGGCGAAGATACCCGTAGATCGCTGCAAGACACTTGTGTCAAGCTATGCTTCACGTTTAAAAGCTGTTATAACTGTAAAAGGATGCTGTACTAAGTACTAAGATTGAATGTCACTTGGGGGTTGAATAAAACTGATAATGCTGTGAGCACAGAAAAGACATTTGTGGTTATTTCATTATAACTGTTATGTTATATTTGTCTGACCTACAAGTGCCTCTTTAATGTAAATGTAAGCAAGATGACTGAATGATCAAAAGCAATGTCAAACTGGCCAAAACACTCAATTTCAGTGGGGGTTGAATAATTTTGGTCACAACTGTATAAACTGCTAAATACCTTTTCTCATCAGCAGTTAAAGCAGTCTTGTGACTTCTATCAGTGTCCAGCAGAGTACTAATTACAGCTTGTAGGAGGAGTTTTCATTCTCCTCTCATTGTCCTATGACGGTACATAACCCCTTACCCTCTATCTGGACACTGCTGATTGGCCCTGTGATGATCACATGCACATTCTCAAAAAAGGAAAAACTCTACAGCGATATACACTAAACTGAGCATGTGCAGCTTGCCACCAAGGCCCTGTTCTATCAGGAGATGACATGGGGACAGTAGAAGAAGAGGAGGATCAGAGAAGACAGGATCAAGCATCCTTTTTTACACAATGCAGAGGATTAACCCCTTAGGTTCCACAGTGAGTATAACAAGCATGCTTTACTGCATATATAGACTGTTGTGGGTTTAGTAACACTAAACTTCATGTTTTGTAGTAACACTAAAATTCATGTTTTGCTGACTTAGCGGTCCTGGATATTCTTTTTAACATTTACACAACAATTCATTCTAGTGAATATGTCCCCCAAACCACTGATAATATCTAAGCCCTGAAAAGGTGGCCATCTTGGAGCCTGTAACACATTGGCTGTTTTATTTCTTCTTGTTAAGAATTAATACCAATACTAGAAAAGAAGACTTTGGACTCCTAGACCATTTGTTTGATGTTCTCATTATTGTACACACATTTGTCTGTGTCCTGTGACACCATTGATGGGACTTTCACTTTATGTCCTTGTGACACCCATACAAGCCCTTTCTTGAGCTCCAGTCTGGTGACTTTGTCTAGGCTGAGATGATGCAATCAGTCTGCTGCAGGCAGGAGGAAGATATCCCACAGTCTCCTCTGCCCCATTGATCAAACTGCAACATTGTAGCAAATCACAAGATGAGAAAGGCTGCAGCAACAGCTGATCTGCACCACACATTTGTCAACAATAACAGGCATCAGTATTTACATGACTTTGTCATCTCTCAGCCACCACCTCAGTCAAACAAGTAGATGGTGATCTTGGATGATGACTGAACAAAAACAGAACTGTTCTTCTGGAGAACAAAGCAGAGGGGACATTGTCAGGGGATGTACTAGGATCTGGTAAGGGGTAATAGTTACCTGGAAGCCTTAGGCTACGTTCACACTAGCTCTGTCAGCAGGCATCAGACAGGTGTTTGGGAAGTGTTTTTAATGCTTCTCAAATGCCTATGAAAATTCTGCACATGGCAGCACATGGTGCTGTTCACAAGGAAGCGTTAGCGTTGCGGCAAAACTGATGCCTCGTGTCAAGTCAGGAGGAGTTGAAGCCTCCCATTCAAGTTTATTGCGCTGCTCCTCAAACGCCTGGCAGGCGTTTGCGGTGCAGTTGCGAGGTGTTTGCGGAGCGTTAATACCATTGAACTTCATATAAGGACTTTGTGGTGCGGTTTTAATGCTTGGCAAATGCCTATCAACTGCCTCAAAACCACTCATAGGGCGTCCGGGGAGCATTTGAGGAGCATTAAAAATGCTTCCCTAACGCCTGTTAAACGCTATAGGGGTGTTTGACAAGCGTTACAAATAAAGTCAAGTGTGAACGATCCCTTACTCATACACATTACTTAGCACGTGTGCATTTAACAGGAATAATTTATCTGATGATGGGTCCATTTTGACAGAGCAATCACATTACTGCTGATCACTCGGCTCTAGCTCCTCAGTGAGCAGAGAGAGTCACCAGCTCTGTGCTCTTCCCTTCCAGTGCTCCATGGAACACGGGACTGTGTAGGGGGGCAGGAACGGCTGACTCAGGATCTCAGCTGCATGCTGAGAGGCTGAGCCAGTTGCAAGTCAGGCAACGGAACTCGCGCATGCGCACTAGGATCCACGGGTGCGCGCCTGGCACCAATGACAGCGCAGGGCGCGGTATTTAAATCCCCCCGAGCTGTCACTGGTTGCCATTTGGTCTCCTTATGTTCCTGATCCCGTGTGTACCTGAATTCTGATTGTTGCTGACCTGGATTATCCCTGACTGTGCTGTATTCTCCTGCTCTGACCCTTGGCTTGCCTGACCTCTCTCCTGGATGCCCCCTGTTGGATTTGATCTGCTGTTGCTGACCTGGCGTGTGACCCGACTATTCTCTGCCCGCTGCTTTGTACCGCTCCGACCCCACGGCTCCCGACTCGGCTTGTTTGACCCTGCACTTGCTCATCCATCCATCCCGTCAGGATCTCCCGACCTCCTCACATCAGGCTCTCTCCCTGCGGGAGCCTCTGGCGGACTCCTCTACCACTGGTGGGTGTACCCAGTAGTCGCGACCTGGTCTCGGTGCACTCCAAGTCCATCCCCACCATCAGGGGCCCTGGTGAACAAGTGCTCCGGGACTTAGACTCCGCACTCTGGGGAAACCTGACCAGTGGAGTGCTAGAGGTACCGCCAGGTGGTCCCTTACAGGGTCATTGAAATGCAGAACTAAGTGCACTCCTGTGAACCACAGGAGAAGTAGGACCAAAAGAGCTTTGGCCCTTCATCTCCTTTCAGTGTGGACAATCAGAAATCTGCCCATAATTTCAGGCCTGCTTTAGGCAGATGAGAAGAACTATGTGCTGTGAGACAGGTTATAGCAGGATTATGTTTCATGGACAGACATTGTGCCAGCCATGGGGCCTTGTTTGCTCCTCTCACTCCCGAGGAACTCCTCACCTTTTAAATTTTGAATGGATTTTGGTAGGTGCTGCCTCTTCATTAGCACAGGAAAGGGATCTCTTCCATCATTCCTTTCATGGACCTCTCGGACCTCCACTGTGTCATCCACCAGGTAGTAATGTATAATGACCGGGCGTGCCTCCCCAAACATGCTGTCCGAGTCATCCCACAGCGAGAAAAAAACGCAGCACCTATTAAGGTAGAGAACATTCAAGAGCCTGAGAGTGCAGGACGTGATTTCATACCAGCATGTCTCCAAACCTCTTACCTTTCTGAGACGTGATAGAGGGACACAATATATGTAGACAAAAGACACAACCCTGCCACAACCCCAGTTATGTGGACCCCAAATTGGCTAAACCCACAGGTGATTTTTGTTTTTCCATCCATACTTTTTCTTTTTACTAGTTTTTCAAAATAACAAATTCAGAGGTTAGATAAAAGGTTTTGTGTAGAGTTATACCTTTCATAGTAATTAATATGCTTTATACAAACTCTCTGGATTTTCCAGAACAGTCCCACATCTTGGCCCTCTGGCCCACTAATGCTGTGTTCCTAGCCTAGGTCCTGGGATCACAACATCAACCTTTTTTTTTAGTTACAGCACATGCACCATAACTCAACTGTGAGTGAGTGGTCCCTGAACATTTAGAGGTGGGGTCTGGGTGGGGCCAACTTGCAAAAGTAAGCATGGTGGACAATCCAGGCATATTTTGAAGTTGGGTTTGGATAGGACCAACTCATGAAATTATTTGGGCTCAGAAAGCGGAGTCACAGAATGCAGGTGTACACATCAGACCAAAAAAGACACAACAGAGGAAAGAAGAGTGACTGAAGGATTCAGTTACAAAAGAGGAACAGTCCCTCCAAATGAAGACTGTTGGGAATATGCAATCACTGGGGGGAGATTTACTAAAACTGGAGCACATCTGGTGCACCTGTGCATGCTAGTCAATCAGCTACTAACCTAAGCTTTTTCAGTGAATGTTTGGCAATAAAACCTGGAAGCTGATTGGTTTGTATGCAGAAGTGAGTCTGATTTTGCATTCTCCAGATTGTGTAAATAAACTCCACTATGTTATTCCAGCTGCAGTCACAAGGGGGATACCTACATCTCCCTACTCCCCTCTATTTTACTTAGTGACTTATGCAGGCTATCAGTATTAGCTATTAGTCTTGGTAAGCTGTGTTCATCAGCCCATATTTACAGTGTAAGTTTTCACACTTACAAAGAAATTAAAGGTCTATAATTTATTTTTATCATAGGTGTATTTTAAATGAGAGAGACAGAATTTAAACCAAAAATCTAAAAAACACACACACTATACAAATGTTATAAATTGAGTAGCAGTTCAGTGAGTAAAATAAGTATTTGATCCCCAAACAAAACATGACTTAGTACTTGGTGGAGAAACCCTTGTTGGCAAGCACAGAGGTAAGATGTTTCTTGAAGTTGGTCACCAGGTTTGCACACATCCTAGAAGGGATTTTGGTCCACTCTTCTTTACAGATCTTCTCTAAATCCTTAAGGTTTCTTGGCTGTTGCTTGGCAACTCGAAGTTTCCGCTCCCTCCATACATTTTCTATAGGATTAAAGTCTGGAGACTGGCTAGACCACTCCATTATCTTAATGTGCTTCTAGAGCCACTTCTTTGTTGCCTTGGTGGTATGTTTTTGGTCATCGGCATACTGGAAGACCCATCCATGACCCATCTTCAGTGTTCTGAGGGAAGAAAGTTCGCATTCAAGATTTTACAATACATGGTCCCGTCCATTGACCCCTCAATGCAGCAAAGTTGGCCTGTAGCTTTAGCAGAAAAACAGAGCATAGCTCTATGTTTGCCCAAAGCATAATGTTTCCACCTCCATGCTTGACTGTATGTATGGAGTTCTTAGGGTCATAGTCAGCATTTTCCTTCCTCCAAACATGGCGAGTAGAGTTAATGTCAAAGAGCTCAATTTTGGTCTCATCTGACCACAACACTTTCTCCCAATCCTTATCTGAATCATTTAGATGTCTATTGGCAAACTTCAGACGAGCCTGTACATGTGCCTGCTTGAGGAGGGGAACCTTGTGGGCTCTGAAGGATTTCAATCCATGGCAGCATATTGTGTTACCAAATGGTTTGTTTACTGACTGTGGTCCCATCTGCCTCACAAGCTCCTCCCGTGTAGTTCTGGGCTGATCCCTCACTTTTCTCATGATCATCCTTACCCCATGAGGCAAAATCTTGCAAGAAGCTCCAGACTGAGGGCGATTGATGGTTATTTTATATTTCTTCCATTTGCGAAAAATCACTCCAACAGTTGTCTCCTTCTCACCAAGCTTCTTGCTGATGGTCTTGTAGCCCATTCCAGCCTTGTGCAGGTCTACAATCTTGTCCCTGATGTCCTATGACAGCTCTTTGGTCATTTGCCCATGGTGGTGAGGTTTGAATGGAAGAAAGAGATTGTGTGGACAGGTGTCTTTTATACACATAATGAGTTGTTGTTAGGAGGACCTTCTTAAATTGACAGGACTAATCTGTGTGCCACATTGCCACATAGCCAGTCTGTGGGAGCCAGAATTATTGTTGGTTGGTGGGGACCAAATACTTCTTTTACTCACTGAACGTCAACTCAATTTATAAAATTTGTATCATGTGTTCGTTCTGTATTCTTTTCTGAAAAAAATCTTCAGGGGATCAAATAATTATTTTCCCCACTGTAAAAGCTTCTCCAGAAAAAAGTTAAACTCTTTTTACTCCAGATGGATGCTGCTTACTAGTTTATAGCTCTGAGCTCACTGACGTGTCCAGGGCTATGGGATGCGTGGGCCCTGTTCTTACAGCAGCACTTCTAGTAGTGGGCATACATTTAATGAATTGTGGGAGGTTTTCCTCTGGAGCACGTGGTGACACTTGAGTGAAGTTTTATGCACCTACTCAATTAATGTCATTTGCTCACATGGTGACTTTAGTGGATCAGAAGGACTTTTTTATTCAATCACATTTTATTAATTTGAATTTAATTTTTTTTTGGTGAACTTATTTGAAGTATTTATGTGTTTGCTGAAATGGAATTTTATTTAATTAAATTGATTTTGATATATTTATTTGTTATACCACAATATTTAATTGTATACATTTAAATGTAAATGGGCGATCAGAGATTTTTTTATCATTCTTTCACGAGTATATGGCACAACTAAAATATACTGATTTCATTGCATTCGATTTGAGTACCTTACAGGGCCGATTGATCCTTATTATTATTATTATACAGTATTTATAAAGCGCCAATAGTTCGCTCAGCGCTGTACATTACAGAGGGGAACAGAACATGTGACAGAACAATACCAATACAATGCAAAACATGAGGGGATCGGGGGCCCTGCTCTTTCGAGCTTACAATCTAGGATCAATTGAAATACTCAATTGACTGACCAATGGCATTGATACATGTGTGATCATCCTAAGAGTGACTTGTTGGTGCTGCTGCAGGTACTCATGGAACTGAACAGCAGTGCCTGTCTGGAAACTAATGTGTTTTGAAACCCAATGGATAAAAATTAAAATAACACAGCCACATAAATGTGTTTTTGCTAATGCATGTTGTTTTCAGTCACTTCCCTCTATCACAGGAACATCAGTTTATATTGCTACCAGGGGCGGACTGACCATTTGCAAACTTGGGCACTGCCCGAGGGCCCGTGGTCAGTAGGGGGCCCCATGAGATGCCCCTGGTACCTTTTTCATAGGCTTTTTTGAGTTTGGGCAAGGACACAGGAGCCCCATGATCCCCTATTGCCCAGGGGCCCCATGAGTTGTCAGTCCGCCCCTAATTGCTACTATTCTTCTGTTGCTAATGTGGCTCCTATCCTTAGCAGTGTCTCTATGGAGCCATCACAGAGTGCATGCTCCTTGCCTAAAGACTACAGAGCTACTCTGCTTACGATTCTGCTTGTCCTTTGCTGGGGTAACATGGGGGCATAGAAACCAACGGAACTTGCATTACCTGTGCATATACAAAGGATCATGGGACATGTAGTCCTACAGGCAGCCATAAGGGGGGGAGAGTGTGCGTGCTCCCTGACCTGAAGTTAGGAGAAGTATAGCACACGGAAGAGCGAGCAGTATAAATATTAAAAGGTTACAAAATTAGTACATTCATGAAGGTATTGCATGCACATCAATAGAGAGCTTGCTTGTAATAGAAGGGTTTAATACTTCTCTTTGATAAATTACTCATATTTAGTATTTATATAAATACATTTTGATTATTTTAATACAAATTTAATATTTAATTTTACACATTACTCAGCCAAAATGAACAGCAACTTTAACATACAGAGAAGTACAGTATGTACTAAGGCTGGAACCCCAGGACAGAAATGGCCCAGCAAGTAGAAAGATAGAATGGAGAGATATTAGAGGTAGATAGATGGATGGACAGACGGATAGATAGACAGATAGATAGATAGATATTTAGAAAGGAAATACCTTGCGATCCATAGTTTAGGAACTGCTTGAGTCTATCAAAATCAGATGGGGTAGTGTAGGTGCGGTGCGGCTCTTTGCGTAGCTCGGTGTAAGGATTGGTAGGGATTCCTTCTATGGGGTTCAGCTCAATACCTTCACTTTCCAAGAAATCCTGTATAGGAAGATTGCTTTGTATAAGAAGAGAAGCAGTGGATATAGAAATGCATGTGAAAGCTAGGCACCATGAAAATGCATGCAAAGCGAAGCTTTTATCTACACTATAGGGGTACACTGTATGTGTACAAGACTGCCCCAGAAATATGTTTTCTGCTTTTCCCAATTGGCTTGGTACATTTCACAAAAATCTGCATGGAGCTGGAGGCCAAATTAGTGGCATCCCTGCAATAGAAGTTTCATTCAAGCCTAAAGGTGCGTAGATGGTGTTCCATTTCTTATTTTAACACTAAGATTGTTCAGGTGTTGATAATGAAGGTAGATCATCCCATTTAGTAAGTAGATTAAAAAGACACATGAGAAAAAACGTTTGTTAAAATCTTTGTATAAATTGTTCCCTATTGGGGATTATAATTTTCTCAGCAGAACTGGCACATCACTTTAAATTGATCCCTTTTCCATCTATTTTAAAAAACATTCAAAAAACTATAAATCCTATAAAACCTGAGAAATCTTCCCTGCTACCAGCTTTGCATTTATCAAAGCAGCTTTTCTCAACCTTTTTAATATGGAGGAACCAATGAAACTTTGGGACTTGAGGAACCACTGCTACTAATTACTATATTGCTGTTTAATATATATACGCTATATCACCACTATATCACTATATACTGTATAGCCATTGGCTCCTGCTGCTGTCACTCAAATCCTGTAAGGAGGGAGTGGGGGGCAGGGCCAAGCTGTGCTGTGTGTTTCTATAGATGCACACAACCTGCCTCAGGATAGAGCTTGCATGTTTGCCCCCATAGAAAGCCGCTATGGGAGGAGGAGCTGAGAGCGCCAGCAGGGGATCCCAGAAGAGAAGCTTCAGGGGCGCTCTGTGCAATCTGATTGCACAGAGCAGGTAAGTAAAAACCTCTTTTTTAGTTTAATAAAAAAATGAACCTTTACAACTGCTTTAATGATTATTGGGAGAAGGACCCCCTTACACTGGTGGTCAATGGAAAGGATTGCCCTAACATTCAATCAGTCAGTGTCAGAGGGAGAATACTCCTTACATTGGTGGTCATTGGAAAGAATGCCCCTTCCTTTGGAGGTCATTTCAAAGAATGCCCCTTACTCTAGTGGTTATTGGGAAGAATGCCCCTTACTCTAGTGACCACTGGAAAGAATGCCCCTTATTTTAGTCATCATTTTGAAGAATGCCCCTTACTCTAGCGGTCATTGGGAAGAATGACCCTTACTCTAGTGGTCACTGGGAAGAATGCCCTTTACTTTGGTCATCATTTGGAAGAATGCCCCTTACTCTAGTGGTCATTGGGAAGAAGAATGAAACTTATTCTACTGGTCATTGGGAAGAATGAAACTTACTCTAGTGATCATTGGGAAGAATGAAACTTACTCTAGTGGCCACTAGGAAGAATGCCTCTTACTTTGGTGGTCATTTTGAAGAACGCCCCTTACTCTAGTGGTCATTGGGAAGAATGCCCCTTATTCTAGTACTTGGTCATCATTTGGAAGAATGCCCCTTACTTTGGTCATCATTTGGAAGAATGCCCCTTACTCTAGTGGTCATTGGGAAGAATGCCCCTTACTCTAGTGGCCACTGGGAAGAATGCCTCTTACTTTGGTCATCATTTGGAAGAATGCCCCTTACTCTAGTGGTCATTGGGAAGAATGAAACTTTCTCTAGTGGTCATTGGGAAGAATGAAACTTACTCTAGTGGTCATTGGGAAGAATGCCCCTTACTCTAGTGGCCACTGGGAAGAATGCATCTTACTTTGGTGGTCATTGGGAAGAATGAAACTTATTCTAGAGGTCATTGGGAAGAATTCTCCTTACATTGGTAATCAGTGCAAAGAATGCCCTACTATGAGATAGCTTAAGAAAAGATCATCGATTTCAATAGTTACTTGAGAGGCAAAATTTGCTCATAGCTCAAGGAACCTTTAGCATCCTCTGGAAGAACTTTAGGGATATACAGAACTCTGTATCAACATATTTGAGGTAAGAATTGCTGTCAGTTGGCATTATTCTTGGCAGCTAATGAGATTGGCTTACTTTCTCATGCTGCACTGGGAGAGGAAATGGGACAACCTGTTTGTGCTTTTGAGGGCAATCCAGGCTTTCTGACACAATTGTTTCCTAAATAAATAAATAAATTGAAGACAAAGCCTATCCCTGCCTGTATTGTTGCTATCCTAGCCTGCAGCCCATGGGGCTTTTTCCCAGATCTGGACAGCATCGTGTTTGCTCTCCTCTGCATGGTCTGCATGGTACCTTCGTGAATTGGTCACAATTGACGATACGAAAAGTCCTTCCATACACCGTGATGTTGATGCCCACATTGAGGTCCTTCCAGTGATAGGGATCACCATTGTCATTCTTCGGGTGTCTCTGACGCTTCATGAATGTTCCCTGAGGCATTCCAGAGTTCTCCTCTGGGGGCTCCACCACTGATATGCTGTCATCTTCTAGGTAGTAGTACACACATACTCTACGCACTCTGTATTGCTCGTTCTGGGAGATGGGAACAGTCTCCTGGAAGTAGGCATCAAATTTTAACACCTGCAATTAGAAAAAAAGCAAATAATCTTTTTTAGTTCCATGAAAATACACAAATATATAATAAGATAAAGAAAAGACAGTTTAAGGCCAGGCCAAGTTTTTTTTTTTAAACTAGAACTAAGGACTCCCATTACAAAAAAAAGTATGTGCTACAGAACTTACTATACTACTTACTGTACATCTGGACCTATAGTTTTCTCTTAGCCCCCCTAAAAGTCCCTAAATACCTGTTGATCCTGCCAGTGAAGTTCATTTCATATAGCTTTCTGTGATTGTGTAGCAAGAAAGCTGCTGCTACTGAATTCAGAGCAGAGTTGCCACCCTCATGTAGGTTGTGCTTCATTACAGTACAATGGGATGGCACGGTTATCACATTGTCACTGTTGATTCATAAGCCTGTAGCTTGTCAGGCAGCTCCTGATCACACCTAGTCCTGCCCACTGCTTTCTGGATTGACAGCACTTCCTCCATTGCTGCAACCCTCCCACTGTGAGCTGCAGTGTCTGGGAGGGGGGGCATGTGAGACACAAATTGAGGAGGATTTGGCTCAGTCAGGGAAGACAAGATAAGTTTTGTTTACTCTATGAAGCATGTGCATCATATAAATACAATAAAGTTAGGCATACACAAATTAGACCTACCATCCCTCATTAAAACTGTCCTGCTACTGTCCAATTTTTCACTGCTGTGTCACCTGCAGTCTCTTCATTCTTAATAAGAGCTTGACAGAAATTAGTTGACAGCAGGACAGTTTTTGCATCAGCGAGAACACCGACAGCCTCTGCAAATTACTGCCCAATTTTTATCTGCTGGTCAGATGCAACCTATTACCTTGTGATGAAAAATGCATGCACCGCTACTAACAAGGGCGGACTGACAACTCATGGGGCCCCTGGGCAATAGGGGATCTTGGGGCCCGTGTCCTTGCCCAAACTCAAAAAAGCCTATGAAAAAAGGTACCAGGGGCATCTCATGGGGCCCCCTACTGACCCCGGGCCCTCGGGAAGTGCCCGAGTTTCCAAATGGTCAGTCCGCCCCTGGCTACTAAAGATACCTGAAAAAAAAAATCAGATTGGGGTGCTGCTGCTGTATGTAAGCCAAGCTAATAGTAAAAGAAAAAAAAAATAATAATCTCCACAGCCATACATGCATTGCCAGTTTACACTGTCACTGAGACTGCTTGTGACAATTGTACTGTTCTGTAACACCACACACAGCTTTAAGGCATCTCCCAAGCATGTTATTTAAAGGACTCATGTTTTTGAGTTGACCTTCTCACTGATGTATGGAATTTTGTTTTAGGCTTTTTTTTGCATTATTACATATCTCCCATGGCAGTGTACAACTCCCATGCAGTTTACAGTAGTATGCCTATTAGCCCTAAAAATGGCCATAATTTAACATGACGATTTTCACCCTATAGACGTCAACAGGTTAGCTGCTATATTGGTTTCTTCGCACACTTGGAAAATCGAACTTCCCTGTAATGTTCAGAGATGGCTTGCCCCATCACACTTCTCATATTTTCCATCTGGTTGGTAAAGCTGCCTATTATAGTGATAGGTTACAGGCTAGTTACTAGTACTACACAGACGTGTAGTATGTATTAGAAAGTGAGTAACGTACCAAACCAGTCTAAATCTCCATATATGCCAATCACTATGAGGAAAACTCTAAAGAAATTGGCTGGACATACACTTTTGGACTCCTTAGTTAGTTCTGTTGATCCTTCACCAGACCAACACTGGGCAATGATTCCACAAGTTACTGGGTGGATAACATGAAGAATCTGCACATCAATGTCATGCTCTGATTTATCCAGGCTAACTTGTACCTTACTAATAGATACAAAGTCAAAGAATACAGGTTCCCTCCACATAGGGAAATAGTTACATAAATATTTACGAGGGTAACAGCTTTAGTGTCAACGATTGCTGAGCAATGTCTACCTTCTTGTCAAATGCTACGTGTGCCGGGATGAAGGTAGATGATGGGGCTTGCTTTGCTTGGCCATAGGTCAGTGTAGGTCTCTTATTAGCCAGCTCATCCAGTTCAGCCTGTGACAGCTGGTTCACTGTGATTGGGTCTTGCCCGATCCCTACTGTTGGGAGCAGTGGGTTACTAAATCCATCCCGATAGGTCAGCGTCTGAGAGCGGTGGAAAGTCGATTTCTGAAACACCAAAAAGAATCAAATATTAAATTCTTTATGATACATGCAGTATATAAGCTTGGCACACTGGCACTCTGATGTATAACAAACCATACTATAAATATTGATTAAATGGATTGATCAGTTTTGTTCTTATATTGCATAGTTTTGTTAAAGCTAAAGGAGATTGTCCAATCAGAATGCATAGTGTACGGCCAGATTTAGAATTTGGGTTAGTGTGAGGGTTACAGGTGGGGATAGTGTTAGGGTTAAAAAGAGGGTTAATAGACTTACAAGGAGGATAAATGTTAGGGTTACAGAGAGAGTTAGTGTGAGTATTAATGCTAAGATTATTTTAAGGGTTAGTGTGAGAGTTACAGGGAGGATTAGTATTAGGACTACAGGGACTGCTATTGCAGGGGCTACAGGAAGGGTTAATATGGGCATTACAGAGAGGGCTAGTGTGAGGGTTACTGGGGGGGGGGCAGTGTGGGGGTTAGTGTTACAGTTACCAGAAAGGATCGTATGAGGGGTACAAGAAGGCTTAGGGTTGGGGTTATAGGAAGGGTTCATGTTGGGGTTATAGGGAGGGTTAGTGTTGGGATTAAAGGGAGGAAAGTGTTAGGGTATAGGAAAGGTTAGTGTTGGGGTTGTATGGAGTGTTAGTGCTGGGGTTATCGGGAGGGTTAGGGTATTGAAGTTATAGGTTATAGGGGTTAATGTTAGGGTTATATGGAGGGTTAGTGTTGGGATTAAAGGAGGGGTAATGTTGGGGTTATATGGAGGGTTAGTGTTGGGGTTAAAGGAGGGGTAATGTTGGGGTTATATGGAGGGTTAGTGTTGGGGTTATAGAGAGGGCTAGTGTTAGGGTTACAGGGAGGGTTATTGTTGGGGCTATAGGGAGGGTTAGTGTTGGGGTTATAGGGACGTTATAGGGAGGGTTAGTGTTAGGGTTATATGGAGGGTTAGTGTTGGGGTTAAAGGAGGGGTAATGTTGGGGTTATATGGAGGGTTAGTGTTGGGGTTATAGAGAGGGCTAGTGTTAGGGTTACAGGGAGGGTTAGTATTAGGGTTATAGGGAGGGTTAGTGTTGGGGTTATAGGGACGTTATAGGGAGGGTTAATGTTAGGGTTACATGGAGGGTTAGTGCTGAGGTTATAGAGAAGGCTAGAGTTAGGGTTACAGGGAGGGTTAGTGTTGGGGTTATAGGGAGGGTTAGTGTTAGGGTTATAGGGAGGGTTAGTGTTGGGGTTATAGGGAGGGTTAGTGTTAGGGTTATAGGGAGGGTTAGTGTTGGGGTTATTGGGGGGGTTAGTGTTAGGGTTATAGGGAGGGTTATTGTTGGGGCTATAGGGAGGGTTAGTGTTGGGGTTATAAGAACCGTTAGTCTTGGGGTTATAGGAAATATTAGTGCTGGGGTTATAGGAAGGGTTATTGTTGGGGTTACCGGGAGGGTTAGTATTAGGGTTATAGGGAGGGTTAGTGTTAGGGTTACAAGCACAGAAGAGGGTTAACAGAAGAGGTTACATAGGATATAGAGGAAGGGTTAGTGTTAGGGTTACAAGCACAGAAGAGGTTAACATAGGATATAGAGAAAGGGTTAGTGTTAGGGTTATACGTAGGGTTAGTGTTAGGGTTACAGGTACAGGAGAGGTTAACCTGGGATACAGAGGAAGGGTTAGTGTTAGGGTTACAAGCACAGGAGAGGTTAACATAGGATATAGAGGAAGGGTTAGTGTTAGGGTTATATGTAGGGTTAGTGTTAGGGTTACAGGTACAGGAGAGGTTAACATGGAGTGTATAGAGAGGGTTAGGGTTATAGGAAGGGTTAGAGATACAACTACAGGAAAGGTTTTTATGGGGTGTATAGAGAGGGTTATATGTGAGGGTTACAGGAAGGGTTAATGTTGGGTTTATAAGGAGGGTAAGGGCAGATTTAGATGTGCATCTAAATCTACCTTTCCTCTGAAGCATGATCCGCGTTCAGATCATGCTTCCGGGGCTACTGACAGGTGGTAAAAAAATGATGTGATGCCTCCTCACCACCTGTTTTAACCCCATTTTTGCTGACAATCACACCCCAACTGCACAACGTTGTGGGCTGTTTGCTGTGCTTCCTTGTTTGCCTGGATGCGTCACGTTTGGCAGGCTTGCTGCCTGCCGATCTCTACATGTTGGGTAGACATATAAACACCCCTGTCCACTGTCTATTGCAGCTTAAGGGGAGGGGCAGTTGGTGGGTATCAAAAAAAGAGGCTCAACCATTCATTTTTACAACTCCCAACCGAATGTCTAAATGAAGCCTGAAGCTTCGCACACATGATGAGAATATCAGACGAATTATGAATATGTCTTAATGTCCAATAAATGAAAATCCTCAATTAAAACCCCCACGTGTACATCAGCATTGGTACAGATTCCATAAGCACGGACCTCTTGCATAATGGCCGCTGCGCAACTTCTGACTTTCCGTCTGACGTCACTTACTGATGGGTTTCGTCATTATGACTTTGTCAAAGGTCATCCTTTAATAACAAAGTCGTAATGATAAAACGCACCAGTAGTCAGACGCAAAGCCGGAAGTTGCGCAGCAGCCATTTTGGAAGAGGTCCGGTCCTTTGGAATCTGTACCAATGCAGATATACATACTACAAATTGTAAGCGCTTTTTCATATAATAAATGTTATTGCCTTGATATTTTACACAATGGCTGCCTGTTCTCTTTGCTTTATATATTCTGACGAGAGAGATCATAGTGATATTGGAAGAAGAGGACCCCAATTGCTTACAACCTGATCCCCTTGCAGTTGTGTAAGGTACATGGACTGCATGGTGGTGGAATATATATGATTTCACACAGGGGCAGATTGACAACTCATGGGGCCCCCGGGCAATAGGGGATCATGGGGCCCCTGTGTCCTTGCCCAATTTCAAAAAAGCCTATGAAAAAGGTCCCAGGGGCATCTCATGGGGCCCCCTACTGACCCCGGGCCCTCGGGCAGTGCCTGAGTTTCCAAATGGTCAGTCTGCCCCTGATTTCACGTGATTGGTGATTAGTGGATTGGTAACCATGGAGCACTGTGTGGCACGTTTTGAAGTTATGTATAACATCACGTTATATACAATTCAATCTCTTGGAGGGAAAGGTTGCTCATGAGGAAGGAAGATTGAGGAAGCATTCGTATTTTGGATATTGATCTTAAGTGAGCAATCTACACCTAGAAGGTAAGAGTAGGAACTATGGATACAACACGTGGAGTGACACTTGGTGGAGTTTTTGTTGGTTTTGAGCACTTTAATGTGAGTGGTTTGAAGTTTTAATTTTTACTGTGTAACAAAGATAATACACTATGTGCAGTTTATATATTCTCTTGAGGATCAAATAGGAAGAGGAGTTCACCGTTTTCAAGATCTATAGAGATACACAACTTCTGGAGAATTAAGAAGTCACGTGGAGGTTTTCATTGAGGACTTTCATTTATTGCACACTAAGACATATTCATCATTTATTGGACTTCCTGGGGAGGGGGAGAAAGGGACTTCTTAGCGACCAGGGGTTGTGCACGATATTTTGGAGAGTTGATTTGAAATTTTGGGTTCAGTCGATTCATTTTTCATAATATCAGACGAATGTTCGTTTGCTTTTTTTGCAAGCTAGTCTCATATTGAAAATATGACTAAACTAAAGTTACGAAAATTCTTGTAACACAGAATACAATTTAGGAAGTGATGTAATGTATTGTAGTGTAAAGTATTCTTCATTTCCGAGCATGCGTGGTCTTGGTCACTCAATTTTTTTTTCGGATGAATACTTTACTGATTAGCGAAAATCGTTCATTCTGGTAAGAACGAGAATGAGAAAAATGTTTGCGTTTGTCCCTTGGGATAATTTTGCATGAACTGTTGTGATCGGCTCTTGAAAGCAGTGTACTAATGATCAGATTATCAGACGATCGTTCCAAAGAGTGTATTTTTCGTTCAATTTTTAGATTGCATGTACTGGGCATAAGTGTGAAGGTTATAGCTCCAAAAGAGGTCTGTGCGAGGTAGGGTTGCCACTTTTTTTTCAAGATAAATCCGAACACTTTGGTAGCGCACAGCAAAATTTTCCCCTCCCCTTAGTGATCCCCCATTAGATTAGCCTCCCTATATCAGCACCCCCCCCACCCTTAGAGACCGCCCATTAGATTAGCCTCCCTATATCAGCACCCTTCCACCCTTAGAGATCCCCCATTAGATTAGCCTCCCTATATCAGCACCCCCCCACCCTTAGAGACCGCCCGTTAGATTAGCCTCCCTATATCAGCACCCCCCCACCCTTAGAGATCCCCCATTAGATTAGCCTCCCTATATCAGCACCCCCCCACCCTTAGAGACCGCCTGTTAGATTAGCCTCCCTATATCAGCACCCCCCCCACCCTTAGAGACCGCCCATTAGATTAGCCTCCCTATATCAGCACCCCCCCACCCTTAGAGACCGCCCATTAGATTAGCCTCCCTATATCAGCACCCCCCCACCCTTAGAGACCGCCCATTAGATTAGCCTCCCTATATCAGCACCCCCCCACCCTTAGAGACCGCCCATTAGATTAGCCTCCCTATATCAGCACCCCCCCACCCTTAGAGACCACCCATTAGATTAGCCTCCCTAATTCGTCTCAGATGGCTGCGGGGGAAGGAGGGGGGTGAACTTCTGGCTCAGTTCCCCACAGCGAACTGAGCTGGAAGTGGGAGTGGGTACCTGTGAAAACCAGGTACCCGCTTCCCCTGGAAAAGGTGCCAAATGTGGCAGCTGAGGGGGGATTGAGGCAGATAAACAGAGCTTCCACTATTAAGTGGAACTCTACTTTAAATCCCCTTTGTTCCCCATTCTGATGCTCAGTTTGGTCTTCAGCAAGTCATCTTCACCTTGTCTAGCTGCCTAAATGCATTGAATTGCTGCCATGTGATTGGCTGATTAGCAATGTGTGTTACCAAGCAATTGAACAGGTGTACCTAATAAAGTGGCCGTTGTAGTTGCCCATAGTAGCCAAACTCCATCACCTTCTGGAGCAAAAGGGAAGTAAACATCCGGCAGTCGCTCGGGGTAACATCGACTTTATGTTCCAGTGTGAAAATAAGCAATACAACAATGTACCGGCTGTGATCCAAGACCTGTACCTATATTTGTACCGATCCGTCACATGTAAACAATCGGGGAGGGAAGAGGGACGGAGGAATTTGTATGCAAAAGATGGAGTAAGGGCAAAGTACTTATATACAAATGTAACATTGTATCTATATTTAGTACATACCAAAAATGTATCAATATATCTATTAGTACATACATAAAATGTATCAATATATCTATAATTAGTACATACCAAAAATGTATCAATATATCTATTATTAGTACACACATAAAATGTATCAATATATCTATTATTAGTACACACCTAAAATGTATCAATATATCTATTATTAGTACATACCTAAAATGTATCAATATATCTATTATTAGTACATATATAAAATGTATCAATATATCTATTATTAGTACATACCTAAAATGTATCAATATATCTATTATTAGTACATATAAAAATGTATCAATATATCTATAATTAGTACATACATACATAAATGTATCAATATATCTATTATTAGTACATACATACAATTATCAATGTATCTATTATTAGTACATACCTAAAATGTATCAATATATCTATTATTAGTACATACCTAAAATGTATCAATATATCTATTATTAGTACATACCTAAAATGTATCAATATATCTATTATTAGTACATACCTAAAATGTATCAATATATCTATTATTAGTACATATATAAAATGTATCAATATATCTATTATTAGTACATATATAAAATGTATCAATATATCTATTATTAGTACATACATACAATGTATCAATTATCTATAATTAGTACTCACTCTCTACTAATTAATCGGAAATATAGAAGGGGATGACATTGAGATGTGATATAAGAAGAGACAGAAAAGATGTGAATTAGGAGGGAGCCATGTGTCGCAGACCGCAGACCCTCTGCATACGGCACAGACACAAGGGTGACTTACGGTTGGGTCCCGGTAGGTGTTCCCAGGCAGGAATGGCAGCCCATGGACAGGGTGGGAGGACATGGTCTCTGGGTGCCTCTCTCACACACTGCTGCCTGTTAGTTGCTCTCCAGCTTTGCTGTGTCTCCAGGCAGCATCCAGACTCTGGTCTCCATGGGAACAGTAAACACACTGGCTGGACACGCCCCCTAGTGCTGATGGACAGCTGAGCTCCTCTATACAGGATACCATGTCATTCCTCCACTGCAATCTTTAACCACTTCATTACCACATGTATGCAGCCCACCCAACATGGCTGACTCACTTCTTTACAAATACGGCCAAAATGTATAATAACAAAAACAGGCGGACTGACCATTTGGAAACTCAGGCACTGCCCGAGGGCCCGGGGGCCAGTAGGGGGCCCCATGAGATGCCCCTGGTACCTTTTTCATAGGCTTTTTTGAGTTTGGGCAAGGACACAGGGGCCCTATGATCCCCTATTGCCCAGGGGCCCCATGAGTTGTCAGTCCGCCCCTGAACAAAAACATTCCACTTAAGCAGTTCAGCTCCTGTATACCCCATATAGACCAGAGCCGTTGTTACATTTCTGTTGTTTAGGTTAAGTTCACTTCTATGCATTTGCGTTTGATGCATTTCTGCGGCGCATTATCCAGTTTTGTAGTTTTTAATGCATTTTGTGGAAGTGTTGATGTTGCTGGGAGGAGGTGACTGTTGTCATGCAGGATAAACGTACCAAAAACATATATACGTGCGTTTCATTCCACTGAACTCTACTGAGGTAAAAATGCATTGTGATGATTGTCAGGCTCTGTTCACACCAATGCGTTTTTAGTGCTTTTTGCAGAAACGCACTACAGTCCATTTAACATGGTTTCCTATGGAACATGTTCACATCTATGTTTTTTTGAGCCGCTACGTTTTTGGAAAGGGTCAGGGAGTTTTTTAAAAGCAAAACACAGCGTTTTTGCTACAATAGAGTTAAATGGGAAAAGCTGCTGAAATGCTTGGTAGTGCATTTTTACCGCGTTTATGCGACGTTTTGCATTTTGCATTTTTATTCTGCCCAGCAACAAAAAAAAATTCCACTTTAAAAAAAAAAAAACAAAACAGTTTAACAAACCGTGTTAAAACACATCAAAAATGCATCAAAAACGTGTATAGAATAATGCACAATGAACTGAGAAAAGCACTGCAAAACAGACAAAAAATAAACTGCAGAGGTGTGAACAGAGCCTTAAAGAGTCCCTGCACCTTTCCTGAAAAAAAAACAAAACGCATTGCTGGAAACTGCACAGATGTGAATAGGACCCATAGGAAATAGGGTTAAACACACTGTAGTGCATTTCTGTGGATCTGCAAATACACTAAAAAACGCATAGAACCTAGCCCTTTTCTGCACTAACTTGTCATAATTGGAGGTGCATTTAAAGGAAAATTTATATATACCTATATATATATATATATATATATATATATATATATATATATATATATATATATAAATATATATATATATATATATATATATATATATATATATATTAATAAATTAAATAGGAAAAATACATATGCTTTTTCCTATTTATTACTATTATTATTATTATTATATTGCATTATATATTTATATATAATATATATATCTATATATATATATATGTATAAAATGCAATATAATAATAATAATAATAATAAATGAAATAGAAAACAATCAAATATCTTTTTTTTTTTTTTTTGCATTTGCACCTGCAAAGTGTTGCAACCACAATAGTGGATCGCTTGTGCAATGGTCAGGCACCTACAGACTATTCCTCTGGCTCAGGTTGGTACAATGGTACAGACCTTCAGCTACAGAGCTGGAGGAAGTATTAGGCTAGGATCAGACCTGCATACTGCATAATGATTTGTTGGGACTGTCAATAAGTGCACCAGCGCTTCTTCAAAGGCTCCAACGTTAGCTGGCAGAAGACCAGATTAAAGGACTGCCCCTCCAATTAACTCATCTTAAAAGCCCCTTTTTTGTTTCCTTTTCCCCCTTTAACCATTTCCCAATCATACCAGTTAGTTTAGGCCTAGCATAATCACCATTATTGCACTCTGGCAGTATAGTTTCTGTCAACAGATCATAAGCGAAATCTCCTGCGCTCAAGGACTCAGGCGGGTGGCGAATAGATGGAACCAGACCTGAAAAGTCGACCACCAATGCATGTAGAGTTGTGCAGCTGCAAATAAGGCTGGGGAAGCCCGACCAATACCGCAAATTGAAACAAAAACGAGAAGCGCACCAACCTTGCACATTACCTCAGTAACCAAAGTTTATTAATTGTAAAATAATACTCACAAACAGCGAATAAAATCAGGCATATAGGTCCTCAAAGGGACCTGAAAAGTAGAAAGCCAGCATGGATCCCATTGTGGGGGTAGATACTCAGTACAGCTGACGCGTTTCGAAGGACATCCCTTCTTCATCAGAGCTGCTCTGATGAAGAAGGGATGTCCTTCGAAACGCGTCAGTGGTACTGAGTATCTACCTCCACAATGTTATTTTACAGTTAATAAACTTTGGTTACTGAGGTAATGCGCAAGGTTGCTGCGCTTCTCATTTTTTGTTTAAATTTGCAGTATAGTTTCTGTATTTGGTAGCTTAAGTTCATTACTGTACGTAGGGCGGCCTTGCTACTGTTTCATGCTGATCTGGACACCAAAAACCATCTTGGATTTACTCCTTACCACTCACTGTTCTGTATCTTAAAGGGTGCTACCACCGTTTGTTGATTCAACCCTTTTGCTTGCTTTGTCACCAATTCTGTTTAGTGACAATATATTAAGTTTGCTTTTACTACCCTGTTCAGTGTCTGCTGTCTGACACTGACACAGAATGGCAGCCCATGTACATATTGCTTTATTGTGACTCTTAGCAAAGTCTTCTCAGATGCCATCTGTGGAAATGCTTTCTGTACAAGTGGGTGCTCATGGAGACATGAAGACGTAAAGTCTTCTATGGAAATGCTTTTAATAAACATGTAGGTCCCGCTGTTCTCTATGGGGTGGTCAGTTGTAAATGGACCTCCTGTGCTTTTACACCCAATGGCAATCCGATCCAATCCACTACATGGATGGGGAATGGATCCCCATCCATCTGTTTTTAGCAGATAGGATCGGATTGCATGTCGGTGGGTGTAAACAGACACTGTTTACATCCGCTGTTCCACAGAGGACAATGGAGGGTCCGATCAGGTCCGCCTAAAAATCTGACAGGTGAACCCAATCAATCTGCCTGTGTGAAAGGAGCCTAAAGCAAAACTAAAGTTACATAGTCAAAAACAGCGAGTAGCCAGGCTCTTTATTGCAATGTCTCTTCTGCAATAAGATGCAACTACCTACCTGCTTGCTGTCTTTTCTGGCATGTAAACTGAGCTGCTTACAGAGCCAGCCCACGCTATGTGTGCTGGGATGACTGACTCCTGCACACGAGTGACGTCATCCCGTGCCAGCCAACGATGATGGCCGAAGACCGGCACACAGAAGAAGATGCCAGCAATGGACAGAACCGATGGAGTGAAAGTAAGTTTAGTTCCGCTTTAACTGACAAACACGCATTGGTTTACATCCAATGACTGGCATTCACCGACCTTCACCAACACAGAGGGACGTCCAGATGTACACTAACTGACTGATGTGTACACTAGTGAGACGCACACAGACAGACAGACAACCACTTTAGCAAAAAGATCGCACACAGGTTATAAGATGAGGCCTCCTACCTCCTAACACTCACCCAACAATAGAAAAAACGACTACCAAGGAGTAGGTTAGCTTAGTGTGATTTAGTGTAGGTCCTGCCCCAGAAGAGTCTACCTTGCCATGGTGGGCAGGCTCATCATCTTCTGGCCAAAGATGAGACAGAACCATTTCCTGATGGAGAGTTTCATTGCTGGCCAGAAATCTACACTTTATGTAACCAAAGTGGAGTACGATAGGAATAGATATAGACACACACATAAACACAATAATAATATGTAGGTTCAACTTTCTGTTCTCAACATTTCTTTTTTTAAATTCCTCTTACCAGCAGAAGTGTGCTCGTTCTAGATCAGCCAAGGTTGGAGATTTTAAAGACGAAATGTAACTTAGCTTGTACTATACTAACTTTGAACAAAGTATAACACTTGTGTGTTTTGTTATTCCATCATCCATGCTAATGATCACACATTATGAAGAAAATTACAAGAAAATTACATAACAAAATCTGCTCAGATTGATATGAATGGGACTGGTTAGCAGGCTGAAGTGGGGACAGCTGTAGAGGGAAGGAAGCTCAAGGCAATCCATTATCCCCTTAAGGGCTGGCTCCACATTCTCAGCCACCTATATGTCAAGGTCCTACCTTTCCCCAGAGGTTATGCTGCTCCATGTGCTGGCATCCATCTTGGGTTTCTGCAAAGCATGGTGGGAGCCTTTAATGCTTTCAGGCCTCTGTGGTCCATCCCCCAGAGGGGTGTGGTTGATCACATTTAAGCCTGTTGTCTGTACTTGCTCTTTGCATTCGTGTCCTGTATGATTGTGTTGCAGCAAGCTCTGGTTCTACTCTCGTGGCTCTCCTGGAAACTGACTCTGCTTCGACTAAGACTATTCTCAGCCTTATCCCTTTATCTGACCTCCCGTTGCTGAACCCAGCTTGTGACCTGTGTATTCTTGCCTACCGTCCTGTACTGTCTGTCCCGCTGTTATCGACCCAGCCTGTCCGACTACGCTATCGTTTCCGACCAGCTATACGCCATTGGCGGTGGCCATTACTGCAGCTGGGGTTACTCGGGGGCCCTGATCTGGTCCCTGGCTGCGTCAAGTCCATCCCCACCATCAGGGGCCCTGGTGAAAGGCAGCCTGGGGCTTAGACTCCGCGCCCTGAGGAATTCTGGTCTGTGGGTGGTGGTTGTTGTCAGTCAGTGTGTGACCCTACTATTAGGGCTGCCTGTCCATTCCACCGCTCCTGCCCTGACACAATAGTTAGGAGGATGTGGGGACACCAAAGCTGAGAGCTGAGACAGCAATAACAAATTGTT